GGAGAGGGGGGGGAGGAGGGGAGAGTGCGAACACCCACCGGTTAGCCAGGCGGTGTATACCCAGCTGGCACTCCCACGCGTTCTCCACCAGCTGACGTCTTCATCGTTCTGGTCCAGCCAAGGAACTCGCATTCCGCAGGAACTCGAAACTTTGCACCACCACTACTACTATTAGTACTACTACTACTACTACTACTAGCCGATTCGGTGCCATTATTCGAGAGAGAAAGATTTTCTTCGTGGATTTGGAAGTTGAGTCGAGAGGGGGTGGTTAACGATTAAGTCGAACGATGATATCGAGGAGAAGGAAAAAAATGGGGGAGGGAGGGAGGATTCTTGCTCGGAGAGGAAACAGCTTGGTTATCGGTTGACCAGAACCCCTACAAATCTGCACCTATCGGTCCGCTCGATCTCTCGAGACCACCGTTATTTGGCGGATTTCTCTCTGATGCCTTTTGCTCTTGTTTTCCATTCGTATATGTATAATGTATAAAGAAAAGTTGGAAAGGAAGGGGAAATATTGGAAGAAATGGTTAATTTATTAGTTAAATATCAATAAGAACTGGATCAATATATACTTATAGATCGAAATCGAGTTTAAAGAAAATGAAAAATCAGATGTTAATGGTAAATAGTAAAAAATAATTGTTCGTATATTTCTGGTATTTTTGTACGAAGTTTAGAAAGATATATTTTATCAAATTGTTATAATAAATGTGAAAGCACATACAATGTTTCTAAAAAAATTTCTACAATTGGAGATAAATATGTACGAGAAAAAATTAATTTCAACAAATGGAAATCTATTTTTTTATTTCTTGAAAGTGCTTATAGAAGATTCGAATCGATGTTTGAATCTATTTATTGTACACTTGATCCCACTATCGTTTCATGATCCCAGGCACAAACGGGTTAAACGGTGCGCACGAGACATAAAGGAAAGTTATGGGGCACACAGAATGAACAGAGGATGAGAGACGAGTGAGAAAAGAAACGAACAAGAAGGAGAGAAAAAGGAGCGATGACAAAGGGGTAGAGTAAAAGATGGTGAAAGAGAGACAGAGAGGAGCAAGGCCTCGTTTCTTTGAAGCAAGGGTTAGTTTAGGAGCCGTTCGAGAATCGGTAGTCTCTCCACCGATGTTTTATTTTATCCTCTCCGCTCCATAAGATCGCATTCTTTACGACCCATTAGACGAATTCATTACCAGCTCCAGCCAATAGGTGGGTGAGTCCATCTTCTTTTCTCTTTTTTTTTTTCCTTCTTCTTCCTCCTCACCTTACTCCTCTGACCGCATCTATCTCGTTTCATAATGTTTATTTTCTCCGTTGAACATTATTCTTTCGATTTGTCGCGAATCGTGAGAGAAAATTTTGAAAATTTAACGAAATGCAACGATAATAAATACTCGAAAGAATCAAAATTATAACCCAAAAATCGAAGAAAAAATATAATTCGTCGTTATTTTCTGTTCTAGTGTATTCTTCGTCGAACGTGACCGACCAATAAATAATTTGGATGAAAATTTTTATTATCATGATATCCAAATCGGATCATTATTCAATAATCAGGAATTAAATGGAATTGTATTTATTCTGTATTCGCAATGTAAACGTATCAGGTGAAAGAAAGATTTACTATTTATACGAATATTATGCGAATGAAATCAGAAAATACTATACAATTAATTATAATTTGTAAATCAACAAATGATAATGATAATAATAATTCACGCGTTAGACTTATCCTATGTAACTTGTTTTAACTTGATTCCTGAAATATTGAGATATTGAAAGAAAAAAATGATACTCACTTAAGTGAATAACAAAATTATCGTGGACTTGCTGGAATGAAAAATCTAAAATATGACGAAGGGTTAAGTGATTTCTACGTTAGTAACACAGCTCTTCGTTTATCCAGTTGTCCATGGGTTCTGTCCATTCTTCGAGGATATTATGCGAGACTCGGTATCTTTGATAACAGAGTGCATATACTTAAAGCATATACATTTGCACGGATATCGTACTCTGCTCGGCAAATGATCGACCAAATTTTCAAAATTATACGGGTATCTTGATTCACAAATATCACGATCGTGCAACAAGGAGAAGAAAACGATGACGAGGTTAGGTTATACGCACGTAAGTGTAAAGGAAGCGTAGACGAACCGTTTACTTTATAACATATATATTTATTTGAGCTTTAATTGCATTTTAAAATACAACCGAAATAATTAAATAATGACAAATCTGGTAAAATGGTTTCAAGAATCGCGTATACATGATGCATATCTTTGTGGTTGCGCATTTGTAAGTAGGTAGGTACTTTTCGAGCGTATTTTTCGCACGGTTGGCTATTTCTCGTTTCTCGTATCTCGTATCCGCGAGTGCGCACGCGCTGCGCGTTCGTTCACGCGCATGTGCCGTGTATCGCAATCGCGCGGATCTCTCGTATCCCCACGCCACACTCTCAGCAGTCGTATATAATTACAATAATAATATTAATATTATCGTTATATCGATAAATACTTTTAAAGTCCGCGATGGAAGAATTAGAGTTTACAAGAAATACGTATACAAGTGTGTTCCGCTCCAAAACCGCGCTTACTCGTCCTCGAACGCGCGCACAATCATCGCCTCACTTTTTCTTTCTCGCTCGCGAAGCCACCAGCTTCCTTCTCGCGTTCTCGCGCACGCGCGGGCGATCGTGCTTGTCCAAGCTTTCTGTCATCTCGCCGTCTTTCGTCCCCTTCCTTTCGAATTTTCGGGCCAAGCAGAAAAGCACGCACGTTAGCCGAGAGACGATGGGATTTCTGGCGCAGGGAGCCCCCCCTATCCAATATTTCTCTCTGCTGCGTTTTCCATTCGTTTTCTTCGTAATTGTATAGAGAATAATCGTAATCGTAATCAATATACACGGTATATCGCGATAATCCGAGCGATAGTAATGACAATATTTTACACTTAAAACGTCGCGTTGACTCGCACGGCGCAATAAATATTATTTGAACAAAGAAAATTTACAATGGTCTACTCGTGCGCTACGAGCGAAGGAAAACGATAACGTTCGAGGAGGCCGCGTCGCGTCGCGCACGTGTCTCGAGTATAATCGCGAGCCTCGCTATTGCACCGTATCTCGTTGCTTCTCGATGCTCCATTATGCCATTTCTCTCGCTATCCTCCCGCCGTACCCGTTCTCGTTCTCGGCTCGTTCCAAACCCTCGTAGCAGAGTTTCGACGAGGTTCGATCCCGAACGATCTCACCGGTTTCGCAGCTCTCTAAGTATCAACAAAGAGGTTCCTATACAAGGGCGGACCCTAGCCTAGCCTATGCGCTAATCAACTACGCTCTTACGTTCTAAAGGTATACATGCTGATCTGACCTTACGACAGCTGTGCGATAGGTAAGCCTTCCTGTTCTACACCTTAGAAAATTCATCTCCGCTCTCCTCGCTGCCTTTTCATCGCTCTTTCTTTCCACGCGCTCATCTCGTTCACGCTCTCTCTCTCTCTCTCTCTCTCTCGCACTCGTTCGAACGCATTTTCTCCCTCTCTCTCACTCTCTCTCTATCTCTCTCTCCCTCTCTCTCAACGCCAGTCGTAAATGTCCTTAAGTATTTATAAAATCACAAACTTGGCCGCTGGCCGAGCCCCTTGACTCAGCAGTGCCGCGAGATATGGTGGCATCACAATGAAAATCAACGCACGTTCGATATCCACCTCCTCCGCTTTCCGGTTTTCGCTGCGCGACTCGCTTATCGCCGAGATGGAAAGAGCGATCGGGGGAGGGGAGGGGGTTCGGGTGACGAGGAAGAGAGAGAGAGAGAGAGAGAGAGAGAGAGAGAGAGTGGGGAAGCGAGAAGAGGGGAGAGGCGGATAATGGAATCGCGAACGAAAGGATACCGGGATAAGTTTGATGGGGAGGAGGAGGAGGTGTCGGAAGGAGGTGAAAAGGTGACCAAAATCGCGTCGCTAATTACAGTCGTTACATTATAGATACACATTATGTACAAGTGGCACCGCTACTTACGGGGCTCGGACTATACGTACTTGCTGGACAACTGTTTGGCCAGCTCCGTATACTTGAGAAATTTGGAGTGCGGGCTCTCCTCGAGGGGAGAGGCC